AAGTTTAAAGTGTTAATAAAGATATTATTATTATTATTATTATTATTGTATTCTTACGCGTTAGCGATTGTTACAAATTTGAAATGAGACTATTTTTTCGGATCTAAATTATTGCTTATTTGTTGAACAGATAACAAATAAGTATGATACTCCACATTTCATAAAACTTGAATGAAAAATGTAGGGTACATTAACTTAATTCACATTAAGTACACTTTTAGTAAACTTAAATCGGAAGGACTGTACATTACCATAGCACGATTTGACGGGGGACCCTTCGTGCAAAGTTAGGACGAGGAGAAAGTTTAAAAATTTGAAAAAAATAACCTCAAAAAAATCATGTTTTCGCACCAAAGAGCGGGGTAAACCCCTCCCCCCGAGCCCCTAGCGGGAAAAACCCTCCCCCAGACCGGTGTTAAATGAGAAACTAAATTTAACCAGGCAAAAACGCAAAATCCTAATTGATGCTGTCTATAAACTTCTTAAATATAATATAATTTTGGAAACACAAAAAAATTCACTTCTGGCTGTTATCATATACTAACCTAACCTACTAATTGTGAGACACAACCAAGATTTAACCTATATAAAATAAATGTTTTCTTTTAATTTTTATCTGGAATGTAGAATTTATAGTTATCAATTAAATTAATAAAAATGACATAAAACATTAAGTATATAGTTTAAAATACATTTATTGTAATCAACATACAGAATATTGCATAATTACATGATAACAAAGGGTTAACAAAATTTTAAAAATTACAGCAACATAACATTTCAAATATTAGTAATGCCTTAACCTATGTTAGTACTGTCAGTAATACCTAAACCTATTTTAATATTGTTAGTAAAGCCTTAACATACGAGGGGAGGTCCAAAAGTCCGCGGAATGGAGGGTTTGTAAATAATATAAAACAATAAGGCTATTTTTCCTTTGAGCTCAATACATTTTTTAGATCTCGAAATTAGCTTTTCTATGTCATCGAAAAAATATTTTTTCTCTTTGCTCTCAAAATGAGCTAAAATTGCTGCCTTAACCTCTTCAACGTCGCGAAATTTTTTCCCACGTAATTCTTTTTTCAAATTTAGGAACAAATAATAATCGCTGGGGGCTAGGTCCGGGCTGTAAGGTGGGTGGGTCAGCGATTGAAAGCCACACTTGTGTAGAGCAGCCATCGCAACATTGCTCTTGTGAACCGGTGCGTTGTCTTGCAAAAGCAACACACCCTTTGTCCATTTTCCCCGCCTTTTTTCCTTCAGTCTCTCTAATGTTCTTGCGTAATATTCTCCGGTTATATTGACCCCCTTTTCTTTGAAGTCAACCAATAAAATTCTTTCACAATCCCAAAAAACCGTAGCCATGATTTTTCCAGCCGATTCCGACACATTAAACTTCTTAGGGGGTGGTGTACCCTTTTTATGCGATTGCATTGACTCCTGTTTGGACTCGGGCTCAAAGTGATGAACCCAAGTTTCATCTCCAGTAACAATTTGCTCCAAAATTGGGGTAGGTTCTGCACCACACAGCTCCAAGAAGTGCTTTGATGCATCGATTCTTTGTTTGTGCTTTGATGCGGCGCGTGAGCATTCTCGGCACCCATCTTGCACTGACTTTCGTCATGCCAAGATGATCGTGTAGGATCCTCAAAATTGTAATGTCTGATACTCCTACTAATTCAAACAGCTGTTTCTTCTTCAGGCGGGCATCTTCCAATATAAATTTTTCGATTTTTTCAACATTGTCTGATGTGGTGGCCTCAACTGGCCGTCCTGGGCGAGGATCGTCTTCAATTGATTCTCTGCCATGTTTGAAAAGGCCGTGCCACTTGTAAATCATTGTTTTACCAGGGCACTGATCCCCATAAACAGTTTCCATCTCATTCATAATGGTTTGAGGAGGTTTTCCTTGCTTGGTAAGGAATTTGATGACAGCACGAAACTCGATTTGCTCCATATTTGCAGTTTTCTTCCAGATTTACTTGTTTGTAGGGCGATATCTCGTAAACTAATGAAGTTAAAAGGGTGAAGCTTGATATATATACGCCTAATGAGTATCTGATTAGTACCACATCAAGCAAGCGTAATTAGCGGGCTCCCGCCCCCTCCATTCCGCGGACTTTTGGACCTCCCCTCGTATGTTAAGTAATGTAATGTAACGTTAGTACCTATTCTATTCTACAGTGTGTCCCTGGTAAAAGTGCACATACTGAACAGAGTGAGAGTAGACCACAAATGGTCGACAAAAAAAATAAAAAAAAAATCTAAAAAATAAATTGAATATTTTACGTGGGTTTATAATTTTTTGGCTCGATCGGACGACTTAATTTACATAAAACGTTTTAACTTTTTTTTTACTAGCTTTATTGCAACAAAGTAAAAATTATTAGCATTGTTATTAGTAGTACATCAAAAATACATCATAACTACGTAGACTTTAAAACAAAAAAATATAAAAAAAAAAATAATTTATCCAAAATTTATTTTAAAAAATCGTAAAATTTTCTCTATAAGTCAATTTTCGCAAAAAAAATCCCTATTTATTGCATTATTTTCACAATTCTTCTAATTCTACATGATATTATCTTTCAATTAAAAAAAAATCTTGAATTTATATTAATTAAAACGAAAATTATAGGCGTTTAAAGTACACACCTAATCTGAGTCAGCCGGCCGCCGTCCATATCTAATCTACATAGTTCTACTTCTCTCATTACAAAAGAAGCGCATCAACTTAGATGAAGCTGGTAAGCTTTAAGTTAAATAAAAAATAATATTATGCCAAAAAATATTTATTTGTTTATTAAATGTTGTGCATAAGATTTTCAAAATGGTTTCCATTTTGCTGTAGGCCCATTAGCGTCCGCATTACTATTTGTTTGGTCGCGGATTGAACCATATCTTCGTTCTCTTTAATTTCTTGAGCGAAATGGTTGATTCGGTCGATAAGTTCCGCTTGAGTATTTATCGGTTCACTGTATACCGCTTGCTTCATGGCTCCCCAAAAAAAGTAGTCGAGTGGTGTTAAGTCTGGTGACCGCGGCGGCCATGCCACTGGCCCTCCGCGGCCAATCCACTTGTTGGGATATCGCTCATTTAAAAAATTTCGCACATTTAACGAATAATGAGCGGGGCACCCGTCCATCTGCAGATACATACGTTGTAATGCAAGAATAGGCACATCTTCTAGTAGGTCTGGCAAATCGTCTCTCAACAGGCTTAAAAATGTCTCCCCTCTTAACGTTGCAGGTAAAATGACTGGTCCTATTAAATAACGACCAATAAGTCCTGCCCAAACATTCACAGAAAACTGCACTTGGAATGTAGACTCTCTTTTCAGGTGTGGATTCGAAATGCTCCATCTGTGTAGATTTCTCGCGTTAGTTATCCCGTTGCGAGTAAAAGTAGATTCATCCATCCATAAAATACGTTGCGAAAACTGAGGATCCATTCTGGACTGTCGTTGAATCCACGTAGAAAAAACACATCTCGTATTGAAGCCAGCATTGCCATGCAAATGTTGTACTCGTTGGTAATGATAAGGGTGTAACCCCTCCTTCTTTAGAATGCGCCAAACTGAAGTTTTTGAAATTCCGTGGTGTGCAGTCAAGCGTCTTATGCTCGTTGTGGGATTTGAAAATAAGTTACTGAGGACAGCTTCCTCAATAGAAATGTCAACGATCACTTGCCGGGCTCTTTCGCGGCGTTGCCCACCGATTCCGTGGATAGATAGTAATCGGTGAACCTCTTGGAAGTTACGGGCTGAAGGTTGCGGTTGTCGTTCAGGATATTGCTCCCTGTAGGCCAAGCAAGCAGCTCTTGCTGATCCATGATGCCAACCGTAGAAATAATGCATATCAGCGATATGATTTGCGGGGAAATCCGATAAGCGCGGCATCACGAAAACAAAACACAGTGTACACAGCGAATGTTTCGGAGCAACTGGTTTTTATTTGTTGTAAATAAGGTCTAACGTTTTCTCCCTGCCCCTTCACCCTTGGTCTCAGCCCGCGACGACGTGGAGCAGTGTTCGTAAACAAAAAATTTAAAAAAAAGGGTCTCTACCTGAGGATGGCACGGACAGCGGCGGGTGATACAATAGAGCACGTGTACAGTTTAAACGCCTATAACTTTTGTTTTAATTGGGATAGATCCATGATGTTTTTTTTATTTGAAAGCTATTATCATGTAAAATTAGAACAATTGTGAAAATAATGCAATAAATAGGGATTTTTTTTGCGAAAATTGACTTATAGAGAAAATTTTACGATTTTTTAAAATAAATTTTGGATAAATTACTTTTTTTAAATATTTTTTTGTTTTAAAGTCTACATAGTTATAATGTATTTTTGATGTACTACTAATAACAATGCTAACAGTTTTTATTTTGTTGCAATAAAGCTAGTAAAAAAAAAGTTATAACGTTTTATGCAAATTAAGTCGTCCGACCGAGCCAAAAAAATATAAACCCACATAAAATATTCAATTTATTTTTTAGATTTTTTTTTTATTTTTTTTCGTCGACCAATTGTGGTCTACTCTCACTCTGTTCAGTATGTGCACTTTTACCAGGGACACACTGTATACATATACATATTTTATTAATTCCTCAAATGGATCTCTGTGAAAAATTAAATTTTTCCTCCGCCAGGAATATTCCACAAGCTAGTCGCTAAACTCTCGTTTGTGTTGATCCTCATGGAATTGTCGTTTTAACGATCTCCAGTGACTTTCAATACGCTGTGTGCATGTCACATCTGGTGCCACAAATTTATTTTCTCCCATCTTTGATCATCCCGAGGACCCAATGACCTTCCATATAATATCTTCCTCTGTTATATTTCCTTTTTCCAAATTTCGATTCATCTAATTGTACTATTTTGTTCGGTCCTCCAATTTTAGTATCATATTCGTGATGTTCAAGTTCATATATTATAATTGTTTCACAACAGTAACTGTACCAGTCAGCAATAGTCTTAGTCGATATTAGTTTCCTTTTGGTATGAGGTCTCCCTTTGCACTTGATCGTAAGAATAACCTGCGCTGAACTTTAATTGATACATCAATGTAAGCGATAAACGCATTTTCAAACCAAGTTCCCTTGGTATGAGACCCTACTTTTCCACGGCATCGGGACTTGTGGCACCTGCAATAGGAATAACACATAAAAATTTTGCTTACTAAACTACTAAGGCCCATGTAGTTTCTGGGTGAACTCCACTTGCTCGTTCGATTGAGCATAAAGTGACTTATCATATAAGAACTTAATGTTAATGGATCCACATTAATACTGAGCAGGTTCCTCCTTAAGAAGAATCTAGCTTATGAGGGAATAAATAAAAGTTAATGAGGACTTCAATTAAATTATTTAAGTTTAAGTCTTGTTGGACACTTTGGCTTAAGCTGTAAGTCCAAAAGAATGTTTTCTTTATAAATAAATAAATAAACATAATTATTTACCTGAAAGCTCCCAGTTCACCAAAGGCTGCCGATCTGTTAATGTGCATAGGGTTTCTGTGGCGAGGGCAGTTTTTTGAAGTTAGAACAAGTCCTCTCTGTTCAGAGAACTCGACACATTGGTCTTGAGTGCCGAGTTCGTTAAAGACCCGGTGCAGGCACCATTGTCCACGGAACTCACCCGCGTATAAATGTATTCGTCTTTCAGACGAACCGCTGGGTGGCGCTGAGGAGAGGCCGGGTTGCGGGTTCCGGTCCCATTGCGCAGTAGAGGAACCGGGTTGTGGGCTCCGGTCGAATATTACTAATTTACCGTGTTTAATTGACAGGTTATAATGTTTGTTTCTGAAAAGAGCCTAGCGGTCAAAAAGACGGTAGAAGTAGCAAAATATTTTTTTCTCGCTAAAAACAAATTTTAACCCGCTAAACGTGCATAAAATCCCCTAGATCTAGCGACAAAGGTGCTAGAACGACAACACTTAATACATCAAACAGTAAACAACAACATGGCGTCCTTTTTGCGTTTCGTTATTTTTTGCAACAAAAAATAATTGTTCAAAAATAAAAGCATACATACTGAAATTTACTATATTTAATAGTAAATTTCAATGTTAAATGTACAATTACTAATTAATTTATGCTTTTTAATTCAATACTGCGAAAAAATTTTAAATATCGCGAAAAAATAAAAATGTTTATTTTTTGCGTTATATAAAAAAAAAATACTGCAACAACCTGATGCTGTGCTTTCCTAACCTACAAAACCTGTTTCCTATCATTTATTTTCGAATATTTCAATAATTTTTATTATCAAAACTACGAGTTTCCTAAAGCTAATATTTTAGGATTAGACTGCTAACTATGTAATCTATTCACCATATTAATTTCAAATCTCAACTCGTGCGATGGTAATGTACAGTTGATCCTAAAGGCCTGTCCACCCTCCGCCAT